TATTAATAGAAGAATATTTAAAAATATTCCTGATTGCAAAAGCATTAATCAAGTTGGAAAATCCGAATGATTGAAAGAAAATAAAAATAGAAATTCAGGCGAGTTTGGGTGCCAGACGATATTCTTCATGACCTTCATTTCTTTCTCATGATTGGGCTTGGAGTCAGGGAGAAAAATAAGTCAATGATTGTCATAGTTCCCTCTGCCTTGATTGATCATTTCTGCCTTTTAAGTTCCAGTGAGAGTGGGAAGGAAGGAAATGGAGTAATGGGTAAAATGGGAATGAGAGATTATAGGAGAGAGAAAGGGAGAGGGTGAAAGGGTTAGTAGGAAATGATGGGCGTTGACGGTGGGGAGGAGGGAAAGCATCAGGAAGAAGGACCTGAATGTACCCAGCTCTTCTCCCCCCGAACTTGAATACTAATTCAGGAAAAATCCCACTATATCCAAGGGCATCGATCCAGCTCAATAGCGTGTAGCTTTTCAGAATCTTCTGATTATTTGGTCCTTAAAAATACACAGCATATATTTGCTAAAAATAAATTTAAACAACATATGATAATCATTTCATCTTCTTCCAAGAAGCGCTAAAAATGAACCAGGTGACATTAATTTGCATTCCTGTTTTTGTTTATTTTTAATACAGCCAAAAAGAAATGCACATATTTTAATTAACACTATGGTTCTGTGTAATTTAAACCATAAACTGGTGCTGATTAATTTCTGCAACAAAGCAGCATATTAAATGTACTGTATCTAGTGTTGTATCAAAATGAATGAAAATAAACTTATTTTGTAAGTTCTAAGATGCTGATCCTTAGTTTTCAACATTTTATATTTTTCCTGGGGACACATGGGTTTTAGATTTTAATGATTTTATTATAAGAAAGGATGGAAAGAAAACTCTACATGTCTCTTTACTGGAGAGACCGGCCTTAGTTGCATGGCCTCTATGTATCCGTGCATCCATCCACTATTCCTTCAACAAATATTGCATATGCAGTGCCAACTCTGCACTTGACATTGTTCTAGATACTGAAGATACCGTAGTGAAGGAGATAGAAAAATAAAAGTATAAAAGCATAGTACATATATGCAAATTTCTAATAGTTTTTTAAGACTCAAGCTTTTTATCGGGGAGGGAAGTCAGAGTGGAAATCAGTGATTACATTATTCCTTTCCGAAATTGAAGGAAACACACACAAACAGATCAGGCAGACTTTTGTTATATTTCCCTCTTGATTAAGAAAACTGGTGTTAACTTCCTAACTTTATAGTCAGGTCAATGTAATTGATAGCAGCTGTCCCAAATTTCCTATCTCCAGAATCAAGTTAGGAACAAAGTTTTTAAATATAGCTAATTGATTCTGTAACAATTACTTTTTCCAAAATGACAAGCAGTATATATCTCTGTATCTTAGAGATTCCTGGAGTAACAGAAATTGGAGAGACCTTTGATATCATCTTATATAATACTCTTATTTTACAACAGAGGAGGTTACAGTGTGAAGAAATCAGCACTGGAACTGAGGTCTTCCAAATTGTATGCTGAATATCCTCTAATTATTCTACATATCTATTACCACTCTGAGCAAATCATTTTATTATATTC